AGTATCCATAGGACTCAGCACTGTCTGAGGAGGAGGCAGCCCTGACTTGGGAACATAGTATCCATAGGACTCAGCATTGTTGGGGCTGCGATACAGCGGTCAGAGCGTTCTTATTTCAGTTTTAGGTGCCTAATGTGGATGCTGTTCTGTTAGCTTCATAAACATAACACCGTTACTCTAAAACAATAAATTCCTGATTTTCTGTGACTCTCCTGCCCAAGAGAAGATGTATTCTAACACTATAAGAAGCTAGGCAGCCTTGGTGGCAAGTGTCTGTGGTTCTAGCCACAGGAGGCTAAGGCAGGAGGATCACTTGAGCCCAGGGAGATTGAAGCTACAGTGAGCCAAGATGTACCACTGCATGCCAGGCTGGGCGACAGAGTGAGACCCTGGCTCCTGGATGCATAGGTAGATGAGGCAGGCAGACATGCAGGCAGATAGGCAGCCATTGCCACTCTAAGGAGCTCTCCCTCTTGCCATGTTGCTGTGCTGGAAGCCACACTTCTAGACAAGAATGGGGAAGTAGTACACAGCCCCTCTGCAGCTCTGAATCAGGGTGGAGGGAGGGTGGGACTCTTAACGCTTACACAGACGGAAGTCTGGATTGGCCCCTCAGGCTGATTCCTGGACTATCCTGGGTATTTCTTAAGGGAGAGTAACGGACAACCTTAGCTTAATTTTTCCACTTGAGTCTTCTGTAATTTCTTTGTAATCCCAACCTGCCCCCACCCTGGACTCTCCACTTTCCTCTCCTGATGAGGTCACAGGGGTGTATTTAAATAATCTGGGGAGAATGTTCTGCAGATGGACCTCGTCTAAGTAGAGGGAGAACGTGTTGAATGACTTATGTGATCGGATTTAAATTTCCATTGAGAGTAATTAAGCGATTTGTCAGTGGGCTGTTTGGACTGTAATGTGTAACATAGAGCTGTTCACACAGATGTTCAACTGTTGACAGATGGTTGTGATTAACTTGTCCTCTGGTAAAGTGCTTGACTGTTTATTTCTCTGGGTTTCCTAGGGACCCAAATACAATGGAGACACTCCAGTCTTTTGGGAAGGCTGTTGACTGGGCTAAGTCGGGAAAATTCACACAGCAAGACATCGACGAAGCCAAACTTTCTGTCTTCTCGACCGTAGATGCTCCTGTCGCTCCTTCTGACAAAGGTATTCTGGGTGTAACAGCGAAAATCTCAGCCCACAGCCTCACAGATGGCATTGCCGTTTTCGGAGTCCCCACATGCATGGGCAGGCGCAACAGCTTCTGCCATCCGTGTCCCTGCTTGTGATGATTTCCACGTCTACCACCCTAAACGTGGGGCTTGAAACACTCTTCCCAACATCCAGGCAAGAAAAGTGCCTCCAGTCATTTCAGTTTTACTGAGCTGAGGCCCAGTGGGGCCAACCCACGCCAGGGTCCTGGCTCATTAGCGTAGAAGGGGTACATGGGCATGGCCACGTTACTCTGTACAGCCACTTCTGCTGACAGCATCATCAGCCTCATGTGGCCCTGACTTCATCCATGCTGCAGAAGCAGGCGTTGGTAGGGTCAGCATGGCTTGTGGGAGCTGGAGGTGGGGGTGTGATCTCTGGTCTGTTAGACATGTCCCCGTGGTTGAAATACGTTCACATGAAGTAACAGTGAGATGTCCGCGTCTCCTCCAGGACCCGAGCGCACAGCCCACAGCGCATGGGCGGCAGCGTCATGGTGCCTGTGCTTTGTCTTCTAGGAATGGACTACTTCCTGTCTGGCCTCTCAGATGATATGAAGCAGGCCCACAGGGAGCAGCTCTTTGCCGTCAGCCGTGACAAGCTCCTGGCCGTGAGCGACAGGTGAGTGGGGAGCAGGAGAGACGGCGCCTGGGATTTGAGGCCTGCGCGCGCCCTTTCACACGCTGACCACGCCTTCCTCTCAGGTACCTTGGCACGGGAAAGAGCACACATGGCCTGGCCATACTTGGACCAGAGAATGCAAAAATCGCCAAGGACCCATCCTGGATCATCAGTTGAGCAGCCGTGGAGCTTTTGACGGCGCAGGAGCTCAGGTGTGCTACACACACAGGCGCTGAGAAAATGAGCCTCTGAGCCGAACTGGAAAAGGCAGAAATGTTACTGCTTTTTCCAAGGATATGATGTCATTCTTAAAATTTTGCCAAAGCCATTGACTGGCAAGTCAGATAAAAACTTCTCTATCTATCTTAAGAGTGACCACGAAGATTCATTCAGATAATCATGCATGAAACAGCAAATATGTGCCACGTAGAACTTTAGCTCTGTGGTGACAGAAAGACTGACTTTTGCCTGATTAACCCTAGAATATTTATTTAGGAATCTAAAAATAAAGGGCAACTCTGACTTACTGTGCTTGAATCATTATTTTAAGTAGCATTTAGGGCCTTTATTAAATGTAGGAGTAAAGTGAAAAGCTGCACACGGCTGTCCCACCTGCCTGTGCTGATTTATGGACCGCAGCCACACCGAGGACCTCAGGAGCATCCCCTAACAGACGGGCGTGCAGCGGGGCGGCCGGATGGAAACCATTCTGAGGAGCAGGGGAGTTGGGGTAAGTGCTTGCCCCGTCTTCTCAGACACGGAAAGGTAAGCCTCTGCGCCAGCTCTTCCTTGGGCTCTGATTTCCCCAACAGTGTGTTTTTGGCATCTACTCCACATAGCTGTCATCTATTGCAGACTAGATCTAAGAGGCAGAAACGCTGTCCCTACATGAGGGGGGCTGTCCCCCCAACAGCTGTGTCTACTCTGGCAAGAGTTAGGAGAGTTCCAACCCAGGTTCCAGTGACGACCGTGGCGTGGCCTGGAGAAGCTGGCTATCAGATTTTTAAACCGCCATCCTCCCTCGGTGGTTTTAATACGCAACTGGGATTGCAGTCAAGAGGGTGAGTGGATAAGCTTCCTGTGTTTTATTTTACTTTCAAGAGTGCAGGAGCCTGGGGTGGAGGCCTGCTGCTGTGGATGGAAACGCCATGTGTCAGACTACTAGCTTTGTTCTTTTATGACTTGTGCATAGATCAGTGAGCCCTTTAAAATCTCTGTCTTTGGGCAGCTACAGTTTTGTGGGCAAAGATGAGCAAAATTTTTAATCTCCTACTTAAAAAACTAACACGGAGGACTGCTGGAGTTGTAGGCAAACGTTTAATTCTGCTAATACGCACATCTGGAAGCATGAGGCACAGTCCACAGACAGCACGCACTGGCTCTGAGGGGGTCATGGGCAGTGACAGGTGCTTGCTGATTAGGGATTAATAATACTTGCAGTAAAGTGCTGATAAATAACTTAAGTGTTACAAAAGCGGACGGTCCGTGGTGCGGCCAGCAGAGGCAGGCAGGGCCGGGTCAGACGCTCCAGGGCTGCACGTGCTCCAGCTGGCCCGAGTCCGACACGTCGTAGCTCGCCTTGTACTTGGCCAGGATCTTCATGAGGGGCCGCAGCTTCAGCCACCACTGTTCTTTGGGAATCCTGTGCCTGGGAGGGAAGCAGAGGCGGCAGTGAGCCTGCAGGTGCCTGGGAAACGCCTCTGCCTGCCCTGCGCGGTCTCACCAGAAAGGCGGGGGTTGTAGGGTCAGCAGAATCAACTGGATGATAAAGCCGATTTCAAGGTCAAATGAAACCATTTTTATATTTCTAAAAACTCTTCCCTCTTTCTAAAGACCTAGTATTTAACTCAGCTTCAGAAAAGCCATTTTCTCACACCCCTGACTGGGTTGCTGACAGTGACGGCCGTTCCCCTGCCCTGCACTCAGGTCAGTTGGGTTCTCTAAGGCATTAAGACCTGGACTTACTCAAAATCCGTTTCTTTCTTCAGCTCTGCCACAGGTTGAAAAATGACGTTTCTTTTGCTTATTCCCAGCACACAAACAGAATCATCGGTGGTAAATTTTTTTCCTATAAAAGTTAAAAAAAAAAAATGTTAATAACACCCTATCACCTGGGCAGGTGGGGGAGCAGAATCTTGGGGCAAGATGAGAATTGAGATTCCTCAGAACCACGCTGTGAAAGTGGACTGGAAACCCAGGAGAGACTGACACCAGCCCGTAGCGTCCACCCTGGGTTTGCGCAGCTCTGCTCTTGCAGGGCTAGGGGAGGAGAGGGGACCGCCCTGACGGCTTCCTCCCTGCTCCTCACTAGTACTTCAGCCACCCCAGAGAGGGCTTCCTGGAAAGGAGCTTTTGTTTTTTCTCCCAGTGGAGGTAAATACATTTTTCACTGAATAGCGGAATAGGGAAATTAGCTTAAATTACAGGAAAACATTAAGAAAGTTATGCTCATGAATATACACAGAAACATCCATAGATAAATCTGTAAAAAAGAAAATCCAAAAAGTGGAAGTTGATATAGAAAGAATTGAAGCCAGAGTCAGTTCTTCAAAAAGACAACATGAAACTCTTCACATCATTGTTTTTTGTAGACTGTCATTTCCCTAAGGTGGACACTGAAGTGAGATATGGCTTGCCCTAATGAAAGCACACATCTGGTATGACTGATGAAGCATGCCGAGAGGTGAGGGGGAGAAAGATGCTGGCAGAAACAGCCATTCTCAGGAATGGGTGGGGGCCAGGCGCAGGGGCTCATGCCTGTACTCCCAGCATTGGGAGGCCGAGGCAGGCGGATCACCTAAGGTCGATTCAAGACCAGCCTGGCCAACATGGTGAAACCCCATCTCTACTAAAAATACAAAAATGAGCCAGGCGTATTGGTGGGTGCCTATAATTCCAGCTGCTTAGGCTGAGGCAGGAGAATTGCTCAAACCTGGGAAGCAGCGGTTGCAGTGAGCAGAGATCATACCACTGCACTCCAGCCTGGGCAACAGACCAAGACTTTGTCTCAAACAAAACAAAATGTCATGTTTTTTGAAGATTTCTTAGAATACGTAACTTATAAAACTGATTCAAGAAAAAACATGCATAGTTCTATAAACATGAAAAATTCATTCAGCAGTTAAGTCGTCCTCAACCAAAACTGGAAGTTTAATGAATAGATTCACAGGGAGCTTGTCCTACCAAACATCCAAAAAATAGCCCCACTTCAACTATGAGGCGAACCCCAGGACTAGAGGAAAAATTGCTGGCAAATGTTCAGGATCTCCAGAGCAAAAGCAAAAAGCCTGCACAAAAGAACACATCAGGACCAAGCTGATCCTACTGCAACACTCAGATACGAGGTGGGCTGTGGCTTCCCTCCCCAGCCCCCATACCTCTGCCCCGGGCCTCCTTGAGCTTTGCGGTGATCCACTCCATAGCTCTGGCAGAGATTTTGGTTCCAAAGTTTCTATCAAATGGAGAAGGTGCTCCACCCTGTTGGTGGTTAGAATTATATGAAATAGCAGTTACACAGTAACACTTTGCTGTTTACTTTAAAAACATGGTTTCTGTGAAATAGAAGTTGTCATTTCTCTTTTTTTAACAGACTCAAGTCTGATAATCCATTTTAAATCTTAGGAAGCTCCAATTTTTAATTTATTCAAGTGTTTAATTTGAATAAGTATTTCCAAGTAAGAGGGTATCACACTTTACATGAAAGTTGACAGTTAAGATCCCATTATTCAAACCTCACAAACAAAAACAAGAATCCTAAAGTGGTGATGTTGGCATGACTTAAAAGTTCAGATGTATTGGCAGGGCACGATGGCTCACACCTGTAATCCCAGCACTTTGGGAAACCGAGGCAGGTGAATCACCTGAGGTGAGGAGTTCGAGACCAGACTCGCTAACATGGTGAAACCCTATCTCTACTAAAAATACAAAAACTAGCCGGGCATGGCGGCAAGTGCCTGTACTCCCAGCTACTTGGGAGGCTGAGGCAGGAGAATTGCTTGAACCTGGAAAGTGGAGGCTGCAGTGAGCCAAGATTGCACCACTGCACTCCAGCCTGGGTGACTGAGACTCCATCTCAAAAAGTTCAGCTGATTTTTATCTCGATATTTACTTGTAGATACATGTTTTCCCCCAAAAAATGGCTAAAATAAGACATTAAGCTTGTAAAAATGACGTGACAGTGGCTTTGCAGGCCCCTCACTGGGGTCTCGGGCTCACCTGCTGCATATGGCCCAGCACATTCTTCCTGCAGTCAAACACCCCTTTGCCCTCTTCCGAATAGAGCTGGTAAATGAAGTCGGTGGTGTAGTTTTCGCTGCAGCTCTCATTTCTGAAACGAGTGGGAAGGAGCCATTTGTTAAGCGTGCACTGGGCATGCAGCTCCCTGCTGGTGGGGGGATGGCCCTGGCAGCCTGGCCTCCTGTGTCCCCTGGCCCTACTGTGACTATACATCGTCCCTCCAGTCCAAGGCTTTGCTTTCTGCAGTTTTTTCAGTTCCCATGGTCAAGTGTTCCACTAAAGTCCAAAAATATTAAATGGAAAACTCCAGAAATAAATATGCAAGTTTTAAACTGCACGCCATTATGAGTAGTATGATGAAATCTCGTGCTGTCTTGCTCTGTCCCACCCAGTACATGAATCTTCCCGGTGTCCTCCGTCTCCACGCTGACTGTGCCTCCTGCCCGAGTCACTCAGTAGCCGCCTTGGGTATCATGTGGAAGAACCCTCGTGTATACGGGGGGCAGGCACTAGCCCCAGGCTCAGGCACCCACTGGGGTCTTGGGACACATTCTCTGACTGCATTTCCTCCTTCCTTCATTAATGTCAGGTGCTAATTAGTGAAATGATTGTGACTTATCTAAAACAATAAAACTACAAAGCAACAATACATGTTTAAAATCACCCTTTAGTTGTCTAAAGGCAGGCAAGTATTTAGAGCAAGGCACCACGAGTCTTCCGGATCGGCAGCAAAGAAATGACCCCTCCTCCAGCCTGCGTCACAGCCGAGGAACCTAGGAGCCAGGGTGTGGCGGTGTGGGTGAGGTCAGCCCTGGTCTCACTCACCTGAGCACAAGGCCCCTCTGGATGGTGGTCTTCATTTTCTCCGTCAGGTGCTCCACGTTGGACTGGAAAAGGGTATTGTGTTAATCAGACAATAAACTTCTAAGAACCTACTGTGTGTCAGGCACTGCAGAGCAAGAAGTGCCGACCCAGTGTGCTGGAGGCGGCTGTGGCTCTCGTGGCTCAGGTCTTGGGGAACCTTCCCCAGGCAGGGAGAGCACATCCACAGTGATGAGTGCGGACTGGGTGCAGCCAGCAGCCCTCGCGGTGGCGGGGGGCGGTTAGAAACACCTTCCAGAATCAACAGCGTCCCTCTTAACACAAGAATTCCGTGCATTTGCCTAACGCTCATTCATGTCTCTCGCTCCCTTTTTTTCAGGATGCTGTTCTCTCGGAGCTCTCAGGAAAATAACCACCTGTGGCCTTTCTATGGACTCTCAGATGACAGCCTCATGAACAGTTTCGGCCC